AAGGGTGGTAATTCGGGCGTAGCGCGAACGACTGTAAATTATATAGTTAGTAGATTCCAATGCTGCAGTATGTCGGAAAATGCTCGTGATAGACAGCATGACATTCGATTAGAATTCGTATATTTTCAGCCGAAGAGGTATATGGACTGGTTGATTTCTCATGGGTCTACTAAGTTAGTCGATGAAACTGAGTTTTTAAGGTTAATTCTAGTGTTGCCAAATTAATATCTTTGCGAGAGTGTCTCGATTCCCTTTCTCGCTTCTCTTCCTATTCTGGTTGCAGAGTTCTATGGAGTTATTATTACCAGTATTATCTCCAGGCTACCACCGGAATTTCCTTTTCCTGTTCGCTGCACGCCTCTTTTTCAACTGTGGGTAAGCACCTTGCGTGTGGGCGCTTTTTTCCCAGAATCCCCTCCATAAACGAGAAACGTGCTATGCAATCTTGTCGTCACGTTATGGTGGTCCTTAAGCTGATCCTCACGCGCACCTTAATTACCTTGTGTCCTTGTGGAATGAAAGGGAGTGTTACTGAATGGGTTTCTTAGATAGCGTAACTGTGTCCTCCGTGGTTCAGTTAGTGACTGCTCAGTCCCGGTTTTCTTATCACATCCCTTATTGGGGAGGGGGGGGGGCAATGTGAACGGAGAGACAGACCGCCACACCAGTTTTGTTCAATTAACTCCAATCAATTTAGTAATTTCAACTTTTTTAATGGTTTCGTACAATTTTTTTATTTTAATTAGTTTATGTGCTTCGATTTTTTGCTGGTTCATATAGTAGAGTGATTGATTTTAACCTTTTTTCAATTTCATTTTTTTGTTGGATTATGAAGCAATAGTGGTTGAGGTGATTGGCATGAATTTAATTTGTTTTTTTTTCAATTTTTTGTTGGTATGTAAAATAGTGTGAAAATACGAAAGAACGTTTTTATTATTTGACTTGTTTGTTTGTCAACTGCTGTTTTAACGACACAGTTGCGTTGCGAATGCTCTTAAAAAATGTTTTTATTTTTTTGTTATTGCAAAAATATTTATTGGAAAGCGGCAAAAGTTTCCATCGGTGAGGGAGTGAACCGAGGATGGCATATAGCATTAGATGATGTGCTTCGTAGGCTGCTGTACTGCTATTGTCGTGTTCATGTAACGCGGGCGCTGTGTATTTAGGGGTGGACGAAGTCCAAAAATAGCACTCATCGTCGATGTGTTCTCGGCTGACTGGAGCGAACAATGCCTTTGATGGTGGCTAGTACACAAGGACAAGGGTCGCGCGTTTCCGTGAATTTGTTTTCTCTCAATTTTACTACCAATTTTTTCCATATCACTGGCTGAAATCCGATATGTGGCTGTGAATCATAGGATGGACTGAGCTTGTAGAGTCTTCAATCTGCATCCCCCAATTGTAAGCAGCGGTATAGTCTAGCTAAAAAAAAAAAGTCTCTGATTAGTCGAGACTATGAACAGAGTGTAGAAAGATATTGTGTGGCTGACTACAGTAAAGTATATCTGAAACATATAGAGTGGATGGCGCTTTGATTGGGCTTGAATGTTAGGCGATTACGAACGAGCACTTCATTTGAACACCATTATTAAAGACGTTTTTTGTATTTCCGGTTTTTCCCTTCATATATGACGCAATTGAGTTATATTGATAATTTTATTGTTCCCTAGTCAGTTGTAGCTGCATTTAATAGCGGCGCGATCAAGCGCCCACAGCATCGAATATGCCTGGTTATCTGCGAACAAATCGCCGAACCGGCTAATAAAGTGATTCTGAAAGCTAACATTACAGCCCCACTACATAGCGTACTCCGGAAGGCAGTTGTCAAGGTATCTATGGCGCGATTTTTTATTACTTCTGAAGTATCATCAAGTCTATCTTCATTTCACAACATAACCGCTCACAGAATCCGCCACTATCTCCATTTTACAATATGACCGCTCACAAAATCCGTCAATGAATATTTTACTGAGCGTCACGCCTGGTACGCGTGATCTGGTTAATGACATTGTCCTTACTGCGTGATATGACCCGCTTTTCCCGCCTATGCTTTTTCTACTAAATGTTCTTAACTTTTTCCTCGATCCAAAGTCTGTGTTTATCTTAGATTATCATGTTCGTTATTGTCAGAACTTCTGGTACCGTGCTCCCGCCAATATTTTCTTTCTTATTTCAGTGTTATGAAGGTGCTTATTGCTGGAATTAGTAAAATACGCACGAGAATCCAAATCCATTCCGGTCGACTTTTCAACCCCAAATTATTTTTCAATTCCCTAACAACTTGAACTTATTTTTGAAAAAATAAATTTATGATTCAACATTAAAGCAATCAAAAAATTGTAGTTACTTGACTGATTTTTAACCGCCTCGATTTAGATTCTCGTGCATATTTTACTGCAGCTACCATAGTTATTGCTGTTCCCGGTCAACTATTCCATGAAAGAATCGACGAGCAATTGCGTTATTTTTTCAATGAGATAGAATTTGGGTTGACTGATAGATTCGCTAATTTTTGTCAGAGCGTGAAATCGATTTTTTGTTGAAGACAAGTTCTAATAGTTGGCCATATTTTCTCATTGTTACAGTCGCACTTAAAATCAATTTTCATAGTTATCACATTATTTTATTAAGGAATAGTATTGTAAGGTTTATTAGAAGGAGAAACGCTCCTCGCTTCGTAATCTTCCTTCACATACTAGCTTTCTTCGGAAATTTCCGTCTTTTTGCGTTACTTGTTGGACAAGAACTTACTCTTGAATTGAAATTTTTCCAGCGAAAAAAAAAACGCCTTTGCATTGAAATCTCTCCAGTGAAAAAAAAACGCACTCACACACCCATGTAATGCCCGTCCCGATGTGACAGCTTGATTATCTGGGTCTTTGCCTAATGATCGACCTTGCTATGTACTAGTCGTGAACACTGTCACGAACACGACTCTATACGAAATTGCTCGCGGCGCGGGAGCTGTTCGATTTTTGTGCGGAGAACGCTACACTCGTCGGTGGCCAGACCCAGCGGTGTCGATCAAGAATATTTTTATACTGAATTTTTACGTGTATCTGTTTTGCAAGTTAAAATCTGCTTGCTCTTTTGTTTTGGTTTGAGGCGCTTTAGCGCTTCTCGTGATTGCAAGGTCAATATTATTTCAACGTCCATTCGATAGAAAGGGGGAGACATCGTGAATTTCATTCAGTTCCACCCGCAGATATTACAGGTAGACCCTACACGTAAATATTTGTCGTTTCCTCGTAGTTTTTGGGACATGTCATTAGGCGCTCCAAGGATACGCTTTTTTGGAGATTTTTTTCAACATTGCATTCATTCATAGGTTTTGAATTTGCTTTTTCTATACGACTTAATTTGCGAATTGTATATTCTTTGGTACTGAGCTTTGACGTCACCCGTGCTCCCTTTTGACGAAGGCTAAATTAAGAAGAGCTTCATCCGTGCTCTCATTCAATCATTGTATTTTTTCCAGGTGACGTGGTCGTTCGCAGCGAAACCCGCTCCACCTCATTCACAGCCGCCAGCAAACGTGAAGCAGCACAGCTCAGGTGAGAGCGCGATTCTTTGACAGTTGTCATTTGTTATTGAAGCATTGGCATGCTTGTTCCGCGTGCTGTTATGACAGTTGTGTTGGATGGCCTGGATTTGGTTTTTGTTTATCAACGAAAGACTAATGATGTAATGTCATGTGAAGATTAAAACAACTCTCGCACTTTGACCCGAATAAAGTTCCCAAGGGTTGAGGTTGACCGTTGGTTGAGCATCAAGTTGTAGGGAAATACCGGCATGTTCGAATTTCGCATGATCGGGCTCACATTCAAACACCACTTGGAATAAAAAATCAGCAGGAAGTGCACCATTTGAAGGAGGATCCCATGATAAGGACGAAGGTTGAAGAAGGGGAAACTTACCTAGTGGGGAGAAAGACGGACCTCTAAGGGTGCGGACCGACACGCAATTCGCACCGAAAGGTATGTCCCGACGATGTAGCATACGCTGCGCGGCGCTCTTGGCGCGTTTTCGGCGCGGTACGCCCTTCCCCCTCTGGCTGTCGATCCTCTAGCCATTGCAGAGCAAGTTTAGCGTTGAATAGACCAGCACCGATGAGAGTCGTACACATGCGAAGAGGACAGGGAAGGGGAGCATTTCTCGGGTTTCAAACCGTTTTTCCTTGGTTTTTTTCCTTTTCTGCATCACTGACCTATCTGTAATTTAATTTCCAATGGGCTTCCTTCTCATCGTAAAATCCGCCTTCAAGCAATGTTCTGTGCAATAGGGGTAATGGTAGCAAAGTGGCTCGATCTTTTTGGTGGTATTTACCAGCTAAAAATTTTGAATGATAAACGATTTCGGTCTGGTATGCTAACTTTCAGACACGGCTTGAAATTTTCTCCCCTTACCACTTTATTTATGTCAAAGTTTGTTATGTGCTACATAACCTTAATTTAAAGCTTTTGCTGTCATATTATTGCTTGGATTGTGATATTTCAAAAGGATGAGGTCGTTCGTGATAAACCCTCTGGAAAGGCCTACATGCTCCAATTGTTGCCTTTAGCAGTATCGATTAGTATTTTTTTGAATGCAAACCTTTCTCAGAGAAGAAATGCGAGACCAGCTACTGCCAACATCAATTTTTTTTTTGACATTCTAGGCAAGTCTACTATTAGCAACCTTGCGAGTATTAAGACGCGATTGAGTTGGTCTTCATTCTAATTCTAGTGCAGGGGTCGGCGATTCTTAGTGGCTGCATACATATCTTGCATCTGCTAGTATTTATTTATTCAGAATAAATTGATCAAGTAGTTTTTGAGAGGTGCTCTTGGATATCGGTACGTTTTATGGTACATATGAACAGACAAGCGTATCTTCTTTCTTCTATGATTTTTCAAGAAAGCAGTTTTGGAAGCTCAATGGCGCTTTTAGCCCACATAAAAAATGTCCGGAAGATATTGGTCAGTTTTACTGTTACTCTTCCGGGTTACAATGGCCATTTCGGAGTTCAAAATAAATCGTTCCATATACTTGGAATACCAGCTTGTAGTCGGAATAGGCCTATTTACCCTTCTGGTTTGGCTATGATTTTACATGGTTTCAAATGCCATCGATGTGGAGTTAGTTCTGTTTGTACGAATGTCCTATTCCATGGAGTTTAACGGTTTGACATGGAGGCAAAGTTGGTTCCCGTTCCCGACCGGCGTCACCTAATGGGGTCTCTGTGCCGATAGATTTCATTACACAAAGCTCTTTCGCCACGTCGGTCAATTAGAAATTCTATCGTCCTGCGCACATCAGTTCCTTCTTCAATTGCAGTTAAATCACAAGTGGCGACAGCTTTGGAAGTAATCACCGAATAACAGCATATTGAAAGTGACTGTTAGGTAGATTTCCTTTGGTTGCGAGAAAATCACGTTCATGAAAGCGATCAAAAGTTAGTTTTGCGCCTTCCGTTGATGTGCAAGATGAACATTTCGAGAGCGCAAGTAGTTTCATTTTCCATCCAAGAATAGTAATGTGTTTGCAATTTATGCATGCAGTGTTCCAAAACGGAATTCAATAATGAATGCCGCTGGCGAGGCGGCTGGCCGAGCCAGCTCACGATATCGACCCGGGCACATTAAACTTGTTCCGTTCTAACCCATGCCTTGGAACCCGGGATTTTTTTCTGCTGTTCTTCACGCACACTCTTTCTACCCTGCGTTATTAACTGATCTAATTCTGAAGGACAATTCCGTCTGGACGAATATTCGAATTTATAAAAAAAACAGGCGGGAGATTTTTCATCCCAAATCGAGTTTGCAGTCAAGTGCATGCTTTCATCTTGTACGAGAAGTTAAATGCCTTGCTTATTACATTTTTAAAATGAGTTCCCATTTGTTCTCATGTGCTTTTCATAATGGTTCTATGAAAAATCCTATTACGGATATTAGTTGCTACATTGTTATCGATTGAATAGCTGGATCTTTTTTAGTCTTTTCTATCCTCCTTTTCCTTTTTTTCATATTTTCCTTATTATCCTTGAATCTAATTTCTAGTTCCCTAGCTTCTTCCTAATGCCCGATTTTTTTCCCGTCAAATGGTATTTTTTATCTTCACCCACGCTGGAAGGGCTTTACTAGCTTATGCTCAGTATTTCGAGAACGTTTTCAAGTGTTCACAAGGATTGTAACAATAAGCTAACTATTTGAATGCGCCTTGTAGACAGGACTTAAATGATCTACAGGCAGTTCATTTATTCTTTGTGCCAAAGCATTTTTTTTCTGGACAGATAATAACAGCAGATAATCCTACTACATATTCCTGTAATATTCTGCTGGTTTAGTTCCTCCGTCCTCTTGCGTAGTGGGTTTCGAAAGCAAATCTAGTATACTTGCCTATTCTGCAGGTGACGCAGTTTTGCAAACAGACGAAGAGGGTTTCAAAAATTCTCGTAATATTGTAAACAGCTTTGAATTTAGCGAACGGGCATTTGAATACATTTGAATGGTTTAATTCCACTTTCACTATGTTGTTATGACTACCCTGTCGTGAATGTGGATAGATTGCATGGATAGTGTCAGTGGTCAGGCTGAGCGCTTCACAGTCGTATACTCCGTGCCAATCGCTTTGAATATCTAATCTTAACAGCAAATAATTTGAGGGTTTTTTCGAGTTTTTTTTTCGATTCCTATAGGTTCCTTTTACATGTTCCCACATTTGTTGCTGCTTAATTTTGTAGTTACCGATAATAATTTATAGTTATAATTTCAAAGTAATTAATTGTAATGGCTAGAGAACAGTCCCGAAGTCGCCACAATTCCGTGTTGCCTTTATTGCGTCAGTGAAATACTGTAGTGTTCATATCCTTGTTTTCAACTGTGATTTGTTGTTCAGGAGAGGGGTGAAGTACAAAATGCCTCGATGCTATTTCGAGCTTGATGTTTTTTGATGCACATATTGCCTTATTTGGTTTGAGAATTTATTTTTATTGCGTTTATGGTTGGGCTGTAATCGCAATCATGAAGGTCGATACAAACAAATAGCGTTAATCGTTTCAAAATTTCGTACCACATTGTATGTAGCGATTTGTGTTCTGATGAATGTACGCCGGGCTTGTTGCACACAAAAACTAAAGGATTTCCTTCCATGTTCACAATTTTTCCTTCAGAAACTGTATCTTCATGTTTCAGGCCCTCCCGTGGGCCGCAAGTCGTCGTTGGCCGGGCATGGTTCATCCTCCTCTTCTGGCCACACAAGTCCTTCAGGTGATTTCAGTTGCCGTTTTTTGGTTGCTTAAAGTTTATAGGGTGATTTGCTAGCATCATGGGTGTTACTGGCTTTTCGTTACAAGGATCCCATGGTTTCGAATTTAGGTTTATCTTTATTACAATTATTCTTAGGAAAATATCCCTCCTTCTGGTTTCATCGCGCTTCTCTCTTTTCACACAATGAATCCTAATATCTTTGAAACTTTGTAGAAGTGTGCGGCGCTAGCAGTGTTCCCTAAAAACGGGCCCTTTTTGGATTCCTCGAATCTTATCCTCTCAAACAGTACGACGCCCAACTTACCAAAGAGTACGATGAATGGTTTATCCCTTGGGAGTATGAAAAAGTGCAGGTGTTCCAGTGGAGCGAAGGAAATTAAGGGAAAAGGATCAGTAAAAACGGCAAGCGGCGCGCCTTGTTTCCTCGTGCATTCTCGCGTTCGGCGAGTTCATACTCGGTGCGCGGAATCATAAACGTGAAACGCCTTAGTCTGCGCTCTGCTGAAACATCTAGAGTGACACGAGAAGTACTAACAGAGGTTTTATGTACTAATCGGTGGGCGGACTGAGGGACAAGGCTTCCAAGGGACGGGAGCCTTGCGAGGCCGTGGCGGGCGCGCCTCAACCCGCAAAAGCGCCACGTTTCACTTTCTTGTGAACACAGAATTTCTTTGTTGTAGGCACATTTGCTTTTCTTCAACACAAGTTTATCGTTCCTATCTCACTCCAAATTAAGGACATGCCCTACTATTATATTAGCGCTTCTGCACGGCCGCTAATACGTAACCTCTCGCCGTCTGATCATTGTAGTTTGTGGAGAGAGCGTTGGCGTTAAAGAAGACAGCTTTGATGAGAGTCGCATCAATGCGGAAGTCAATGGGCGAATAAGGCTTTTATTTCGCGGGCTCTGGGCCATTTCTCCTACCTTTTTCTTCATCCCTGCACTGTTAACCACCATTACCTTGATTTCAATGGGCTGCCTATTCATCGTAAATTCTGTCTCTAATCATCTATGTTCAGAATCGCCGGCTCGATCCTTAGCAGGTGGGTCATCGTGCGGTGAAGGCGAGCGCTCGCTAACGACACCTCCTCTTCCACCAGCTCTCAAGCATAACCCGACAACCACTAGTAGCCGCAAGGTTGGTGATCTCATTCTCTTCTTTTTATGCCGTTTTGCTTTTCTTTTGTTTAAGAGCTGTTTTGAAACTACTTTGTTGCTCTCAGGAAGTTCAAATTTTTTTCAACAACGGAGTTTGTTTTGCTGAACAGGGCCGCGTGCATAGACCCTGGATGCACAGTTTGATCATAGGTTTCGAGGAAAAAAATCAATGAGATGCTACTTTGAATCTGCAAAACTGGACTGGCAAAGCACTTGCCAGGTGTAAGAAGGTCGTCGTTCGTTCATTCGGTTCTCCAGGAAGTCCTAGTCCAGTAATGTTCGTATCCATTGTTGCCATACCGAGTCATAGTAGTCCAGTCAGGTCTCTTCGCTTAAGGGGAATGCTAAGCGCGTCCTGCTTTCGTTAACAGCATCACGTTCCACAGCGAATACAACGGCGACTTAGGCAACTCTCGAGCCCTCTGTCCCATTTCTCATCTATTCTGGAAATTGTTACCTTTGCTCAGATTGATGCTCACCCCTGCGCTTACGATTCTTTTCTGCCAGTTGAAGATGACTTTCGTCGCGAATTCTGTGGCCACGCTTGAACCTGCTGCTTTTTCCCTTGTGTACTTCAGGGTATCGAAAAGTTGTGCTTTTGCCTTTCTGACAGATGGTTTGTTGGCATTTATTGTGTGTTCATTCTGCTGGCGTAGACGCCATATCTCTGTGGCACACGTCAATGCGGAAGGAATCGCGAAATCGAAGGCGCGAAACCGGATGTTCTTCATCTTCGGTATTCTTATGCTCCACAAAAAAATTCATTTCCTCTCGCTGAGCTTTGGAGCTAGGTCGTTCATCAAACCATTTTATCGACCCGGATGCACAGCACTAAGTTCCTGTTGCTCTCCGTGGCAGGGCTGGGGAAAATCGTTTTATATAACTGCATCCTCGTTAAGCCCATTTTCAAACGGACCTTTCTGCTTGCACAGTACAAATCCTGGCAGCGTTCCTTCTGCCACCTTGCTCTCTGCTAGACGTTACTAATAGTAATAATGTCAGCGAAGCGGATGTGATGTGGTTGCTGGCCATGAACTTACTCATAAATCGTCACTTTCACGTTAACTCCTGATGCCCTCCTTAGATGCGCCATGTAGTTCGAAGGACAAGCTCGTCTGTTGAAGGCATCTTTAGAGTCTTTATTCGTGGACGAATTGGTCCCAAGTGTCAATGAGTGATCGATTCAGGTTGAATCGTTGTAATGACTAGAGCGACAGGTCCTATTCGAATGCAATTTTTGCGTGTGTCTAGGCGCTGATTTGGGACCGGTTCCTTAATTTTGCGCACCAATTTTCTAATAGAGCTGTTATGGGATTGAGCAGGAACTTAGAGATGAACACAAATATGTCTTGCTTTTGATAAACAGAACCTAACAGTGCGTCCTTTGTGCCGTGCTTGCTTTTTGGAAGTAACTTTCCTTCACATGGCTAGGCACATGCAAGATGCTTTCCCGTGTATCGCGATCATCAGTGGAAGCTCCGGCAGCGCAAGTGAAAGTGCCCAAGTGTCTGTCGTGTATTGTCGAACCACAAGAATGCACATCTCGAATCTGAAGTCATATTTTGGCTTCAAGACTGAAACTGAGATATATTCTTCATTGAACGTATTG